TTCGCCCGGCCGAGGTGTGACTAAGATAGGGGCTGAGGAAAGGTATGTTTTTAAGTCTGCCAGTGCACGGTCACATTCATCATCCCAAAAGAATTTGGCCTTCAAAGTTTTAAAGAAGGGCTTGCAACGATCTGAAGACCGGCTGATAAATCTGTTCAGCGCGGCTGCCATTCCGGCAAGATGTTGCACATCCTTCGTGGAGTTTGGGCGCTCCAGCTCTTGTATAGCCTTGATCTGTGATGGGTCGGCTTCAATCCCTCGGTTTGTGACCAAAAACCCCAGAAACTTCCCGGTGCCGACTCCGAAGGCGCACTTGGAGGCATTCAAACGAAGTTTGTGGCACTTAAGTATAGCAAACATTTCTGCTAGGTCGGCGAGGTGTTGAGACTTCTCTTTACTCTTTACCATCATATCATTGATGCAGGCCTCCATTGTTCGGCCTAAAAGAGGAGCGAACATCTTTGTCACCATCCTCTGAAAAGTTGCCCCGGCATTCTTCAGTCCGAACGGCATGACTTTATAACAATACAGACCTCTAGGAATAGTGAACGACGTGATCTCTCGGTCCGGTTCATACATGGCTATCTGGTGGTAGCCACGATATGCATCGAGGAAGTTAAACCTCTGATGGCCAGCGGTCAAGTCCACCAGCTGGTCAATTCGAGGGAGAGGGAAGCTATCCTTTGGGCATGCACGGTTAACTGTCTTGTAGTCAACGCAGACTCGCCACTTGCCATTCTTTTTCGGGACGACCACCGTGTTGGATATCCAACGAGGGTATTGCACTTCTTCTATCGCTCCTACTTCCAGCAGATTTTTGACCTCCTCTGCCACTACCTCGGCATGGTGCAGAGCCGAGCGGCGAGTCCTCTGAATGACTGGCCACGCATTCGGGAAGACGTTCAACTGATGGCAAATGAAATTAGGGTCGACGCCAGGCATATCGTAAGGCGTCCACGCAAAAGCCTCCATGTTGGAAACCAAGAAGTTGACATAATTCAACCGCTCAGCGCTAGACAAAGATGATCCCAAGAGGAAGAACTTAGTCGGGTCATTCTCGTCGATGCGCATTTCCACCAAATCCTCGACCGATTTTTCCTTGGCCTTTCTTCCTACGTCTTCAAGGACCTCCTTTCCCTCGGGTCCCTCAACCATTTGGACAAATCCTTTAGCCGCTCGGCTTCCATTTACCGCAACGAAGCATTGTTTCGCCATCACCTGGTCTCCCCAAACTTTCTTTATTTATCCGTTTGGTGCCGGGAAGAGCAAGACCTTATGGTAAGTCGACGCTACTGTTTGCATGGCGTGCAACCAGCCCCTGCCTAAAATTAAGTTGTAGGTGGATGGGACTTTGAGCACCCAGAATTCTACTTGCTTTGTGACTGAACCCGCTTTGACCAGCAGTATGATCTTCCCTACCGGCCATTCTGGCTAAGAGTTGAAGCCAACCAAAGGGGACGTCGCAGGGGCCAAGTCCTTGTCCTCTAACTTCATTTGTTTGAACGCGTCATAGTACATAATTTCGACCAAACTTCCCTGGTCGATCAAGATCCTCTTGATGTCAAAGTCTTTGACGCGAAGAGTTACCACTAGGGCATCATTGTGGGGCATCTGGATCCGCTCCAAGTCTCTGCTCGAAAAGGTAAGTATGTCCTTCTCCTTGGTCTTCTCTTTCTTCACAGCGGGCCAAACGAAGAGCACTTCCCTCATGTGCTCGGCTTTCTTAATCATCTCTCTGAGCTCGCAGACCCTTGCTGGTTCAACGATGCCATGGATGACGTTGATTACGCCTTGGGGTGCTGCCTCTAGGGTGGCTAGGCCATTTGGCTCAGTTTGCCCCAATGGCGCGGCTTTCATACCCCCATCTATGTATTGGTCAAGATGTCCCGTGGCCACTAGCTCTTCCAAATGTTGTTTGAACGGCAAGCAGTCCTCCGTTCGGTGTCCCCGTTCCTCATGGAAGGTGCAGCGATACCTTGAGTTGAAGCCTCTTTGTGCATTCCCCAACTTGGCCGGCCAGCGGACAAAAGGCTCGCCTCTGATCTCACTCAAGATGCGGTAGATAGGGATTTTAAAGACCGTGGTGATTCCAGTCCGCGCCTTCAATTTTCTCTTAGCATCCTCCGCCGCATCACGAGGAGCGTCAGCTCGGTCGTTTCTGCGACCCTTGTTTCTGTCATCGTGGTTTGGGCCACGTTGTTGATCTTTTGGCCGGTCGCTTGGGCGGTTATCCTCCTGCCCGACCGAGTGAACTTTCCCTGCTACCCTTCTGTCCGCTGCGACCGGATTAACCTTCTCGGTCGCGGAGGTGGCATCATCCTCCACACGAATGTGCTCATTGATCCGCTGCATCAAGGACTCCATGGTTGTGGGTTGGTGCATTGTGAGCGAGTCCCGCAGCCTATGCCCGACTGGGAGACCCCGCTTGTATTGAGTGATCGCCAGATTGGTAGGGCAGTCGAGGATTTCATTGTAAGTTTCCCAGTACTTCGCGTTGTATGCCTTCAATGATCCGCTGACTCTATCTTGACGCCCAGAAGATGATCGACCTCCTTCGGCGTTCGAGTGTTGGTTTTGAATCTGGTGACGAAGGCTTCCGCTAGTTGCTGTCACCCCTCTATACTCCCTTCTGGAAGTCTTTCGAACCACTTCAGGCCCAGTTCTCCCAAGCTCGCTGGGAATATGAGGCACATCAAGGCGTCATTGTGCCGGTGGCCAACCATTACTTGCTGGTAATGACTCACGTGCATGTACGGATCTGTTTTGCCATCGTACAAGGTGAACTTAGGCTGGTGGAATCCGGCAGGGAGTAGTGTACTCTCGATCTCCGGAGACAACGGCGTGGCTGTAAGTCTCGCCAGCTCTTTGTCCACTGGCGCATGGGCCATCACTCTGGGCGCTGGCATCGCCACTTCTTCGCTACAGTGAACGGGGGCGCTCAATCTCTGCCACGCCGGCACTCTCTGAGCCTCTCGTCCAATACATCCCTCAGGTCTCTAGAATGGATGGAGAAAGAGTATCATGACATTGGAGAATGGCATGAGGAACGGTATATGCTGTCTCGAGTGAGGGATCTGCCCTCCCTTCGGTCGGAATCTCCAACCCCATAGTTCCTGGTGATGGAGAGAGAGTGGGTCCTCTCCTGGCGGCGACTGCTAGAACGAGGGGACGAGGTGCGCTCACTGAGATTGCCCTCTCCAGCAACACCCTTCCCCTTAATCTGACGTTTCAGCATCTCCATCTCCGCCGCCATCCTGCGAATGAGGGCGTCTTGGTCTTTTAGTTTGTGCTCTAGGTGCTGCGCACGGGACTCCTCCCACCGCCGACGGCCCTCTGGACTCTTCGAGTGATCAGTACTCCTTCCGCATTTGTCTCGCGCACCTCGCGAAGAGGTTTCTAGGCCCGCCATGGCTGGAACACTCGGGGGGTCTTCTCTCCGTCGGACAGACTCTGGTGTGACGCCATCGACGATGGACAGTGGAGTTTCGTCGTTGTTGGCCATGGAGATGGTTGAAGAAGCTTGAAAAACAAGGTTTGAGTATCAAAGAACTTCACACAGACGACGCCAATTGTACGGGGGCGAAATATCCTCTACTTTCCGTACTCCTTGGAGTTCAAGCTTCATGTGACGGCGTCTAACCTGTCAACACAGAGAACGGTGAGCTGCCCGGCGGTGGTGTGCCGGATAGACCCTCCGACGATCAAGTCAGGTCACTAGAGGAAGAAGGAGGCTATTCGAGAGAGAGAGAGAGAGAGAGAGTTTTAGATAGCGTAAGTTGCTTACCTCTAACGTTCATCCTCCCTTCCTTTTTCTAGGCTGGCCATGCAGCCTCAGGATTGTGCGCGCACTACCTCTGCTGTCCTTCCCTGGACAGTTGGTTGTGCTCGCCTCCCATCACCTTACACGTGTAAAGGCCAAATCCTCCATCCAGTACATGCAAAATTGCCAAACGGTACTGACGCGTGCCTGGAGCAGATATCCTCTCCCTCACGCCATTGGCTCAAGTGACACACCTGACCGGCATACCAAGACCGGCCTATTCCTTGGAGAAAATCACAACCACAAAGAACATGACCGAGCTTCCGAGGCATCCGGTCGGGCGCACGCCGATCTCTTCCCGGCCTAGACTCTTTTCGGACTGTCATCTTCTCGGTCTCGCCGTGCCAACGCGCGCCTACCGCCGAACGCCTAACAACCACAGCTCGGCCAGGCCTTAGAGCATGCCTGGTCGGCAAACCTAGCCCGACCGTGTAAAACAGACCGGAGGGCCGTGCCGATTGAGGAGATAGCTCGGCACCAAGAGGCTTGCCATACCCGCGTTACCGTAGCTTGGCCGTACCGACCGGTGCAAATCTCCCCTCTCATAGACTATGACTCAAGTTCGTTGTAAGATAAAGTTTATGAATTCTGGAGTTTATAAATCTGTTTAAATTTTTTTTACATAGCTGATAATAGTTCGTGTTTACACGATTTCTTTTGTACTCAGCTCATAAATAATCTTATAATCACACTCGTTAGAGCATCTCCAATGCACTAGGCATATAATACTTGTTAGTTAAAATGCCTAGTGTGATTCACTTTTTCCAATTCCAATGCACTAGGCATATGATTAGGCATTTTGGCTTAACTCATATTCACTAGCTACATATAGCTAGCCTTCAACACTAGGCAAAATGTATTCAACCATTAGGATCATTTCCTTCCATCTTTGTTGTTGACGTGGCATTCTGTAAAATTAGTAGTATTTGGATAAACAACTAAAATAAAGAGCATGGTTGGAGTAAAAACATAAAACAGTTGATAGGCAAAATAAAATATATATTTTATAGTAATATTTAGATAGATAAAATGCCCCCTGCAAAGAAAAAAAAAATTATCTAGAAAAAAAAAAAAACAATTGTAGTTAGCATATCCATGTAGTAGTAACAACAAATGGAAAGGAATTAGGGGCTTTATCCAACTTGGGTACATGTACTACAGTTGCTTCTTCTGCCACTGCCAACCAATCCGTTGTCATAAAGATAACAGCATTCCTCACTTCCCACTCTTCACTTCTCTTCACTTCGCCCAAAACATCCTCTTCTCTCTCCCTCGCAAAGAAAAAAAAAATTATCTAGAAAAAAAAAAAAACAATTGTAGTTAGCATATCCATGTAGTAGTAACAACAAATGCCAAGGCATTGGGGGGCTTTATCCAAACTTGGGTACATGTACTACAGTTGCTTCTTCTGCCACTGCCAACCAATCCTTTGTCATAAAGATAACAGCATTCCTCACTTCACTTCTCTTCACTTTGCCCAAAACATCCTCTTCTCTCTCCCTCTCTTTCTCTCTCTCTCTAGCCTATGAATATGAAAATGAAGATGAAGACAAGTGTGAAGATGGGGAGGAGGGGTTTCATGTGCCAGTCCCCAGCAGCTACTGCTGTGTGCATGACCGGTGACCCTCGCTCAGTAATACTGCCAAGGAGGCCTGACCATGCTCCTACATTGCTCAACAACACCAACAACTACACTCGGCTTGTCGAGTCTCGCCGATTTGGTTCGGCCGATAAGAGATCATCCAATGCCCTCGTGCCATCTGTCAAAACTGATCGAGCTATAGACCGTGATCGAAAGGCCCTCCACAAGCCACCTTCGGTAACTTCCTCATCAGATCAAGTCTTTCAGGTGATCAGTTAAAATTTTAAATATCGATGGATACATATCTTACCGGCTAATGCGTATTGGATCTTAAACATTTAATACTAATATATTTTTTGATCCAGTTATTTAAAAAAGATAATGATTGCATGTTATGTTACAAGTTGAAAATGTTCAAATGATTTTAGTTTTATTAAAAAAAAATGAGTAAATAATGTAACCCAATGACAACATATTTGTTTGAATGATTGTTTTGACCACATCCATAATTTGTTTGGGTTGTTGTGTGAGCAGTGTGCTGGTAGTTGATGTTTGTTTGAACAGACTAGATAGCGAAGAATTGAAATTTAATGGACTATTAGTTTTGAATAAATAGTTTGGGGACTATTTGTTTGAAAATGATATGTATCTCATATTTGCTTTGTCATGAGATTAGATGGATAGAAATGACTATTTTAATAAATCTAATATTTAATTAGAAAATTATGAAAAAGGATAATTTTTCAAAAGATTATATTGTCTTTTTTGAATTGTTTACCATGGCAATGTATTTAAATTATATTTTATTTTAGTAAGGCCACTATTAATTTTATTTAGATGTGACATTAGAAGTATATTTTTATTTATAATTTTGTTAATAAAAAAAAAGAAAAAAAAATAGATGATTATTATATATCATGAGGTTAATTTATACATGTTTAAAAAACAAATCAACATGTTTAAATTTTTTTTTTTAAATGAAGAAAAAATATGTTATATATTCTTTTCCTTTTAGATATTGAAGGTATATTTCCTTTTATTATTTTGATAATACCAAAAAAACAAAAGAAAACAATTATATATTACGAGATTAATTTATATTTGTTTTAAAAAAAAAATCCAACATGTTTAAAAAAATAAAAGAAAGAAATGTTATGTATTTAGGGGTCAATTTCGTTATTTAATTAGCTAATTTGAAGGTTGGTTAAATCCGTCCATTTCTATCTCACACCCCATGAGATAAAATTATCTCACATATGAGGGACTATTAGTCCAACCATATTTTTTTATCTAAATGTCGGACTAATTATTTCATGGGCATGGCTTCTATCCAGTTCTTAATCGGACTGGACCGTGCTGTTGGGCACCACGGGTCCCGTTTTGATAATCTGAACCGTTCAATATATAGAACTCGTCGCGTACTATATATTTGTGAAAAATCACGTTAATCGGATATCGATAGTTATGTGATCAAATCAATTTTGTATAAAAAAAACAGACGATAAATAAATTAACGGTTGACAAAAATTTGTTTTGATCACATAGCTATCGATATCCGATCAATGTGATTTTTTATAGGCATATAATACTCGACGAGTTCTACATATTGAACGGTTCAAATTATCAAAACGAGACCCGTGATGAATTTCCACACACCCCACAATACGATCCAATTCAATTAATAACTGGACAGAAGTCATTCTCTTATTTCATTGGACATGAAGTTCAATAATTGTATCTCACCAAATAAACACCACTACATTCTTGGACCACCTGTAAAGTGAAAAGTGAGAACTTTATAATAATCATATAATGTTGGTATTTATTGATGACTTTTTATTTATCTTTTCATATAATTATGAGTTTGTTTAGGGAGTGAATTGATTTTTTGATTTTTTAATTTTTTTTATTTAGAATAGACTTTTTAACTTTTTTAATTTTTTGTGAAAAAAAAAATATAATGATTATAAGTTAGATATGATAATTTGTCGCATTACGCTAAAAAATCTATTTTATCTTTTTGCGACTATAATAGCCTCAAATCTAACTCAACCCAGCACAAGTTGCCAAAGGAAGGCTATATTGATTTGGTCGGTATACTCATATTTATTATCAATATAGTGATGAGACGTATAAACTAAACAAAATATAATATATAATTGTGATAGTTATAATGTTTTTGATTAATTAATTAATGTTGTACCAAAAAAAAAATTATAAATTAAAGTGACATGAGTTGTTACTATAATTTAATTTTAGCAAATTTCATTTCAATATATTACCACTTGTTACTAGGGCTGCAAACGAACCGAATCGAACCGAGCTTTGCTGAGCTCGAGCTTGGCTCGTTTACTTATCGAGCTCGTTTATTAAGTTCGAGCTCAGCTCGTTTACTTATCGAGCTCATTTATTGAGCTCGAGCTCAGCTCGATAAGGAACTGGGCTCGAACTCGGCTCGGCTCGGCTCGGCTCGTTAATTTTATTGAAACTCGAGCTCGGCTCGACTCGATAAATTTTTTTAATATTATTTATATTATTTAAATATAAATATTTAAATAAAAAATATTATTTATATTATTTAATATATAAAAAATGTATTTATATTATTATTTATATATATATATATTTATATATTTTTAATATATAAATAATGTATTTATATATATTTATATATTATTTAATATATAAATAATGTATTTATATTATTATTTAT